AGTCTAAAACTACTGACTATTAAGTGACTGTTGCAAGGTTGTGGAATACCTATAAAAAACTCAGTTCCTTTCCCGTGAGCAAGCAAACAAGTGGAACTCAACATTAAAAATACGACACCGTGTGTGCTAGCATTCCCGCAAAGTAAAATTCCTAGTTGTGAATCGAGCAAAGATGTATGGAAGAGAAGAGCTACAAACTCTGATTGAAGAAATCAAAGGAAAGTCAGTGAATAGGGGGCGGTGCCTGTGTCCGTGCAGCGTCTGGACTCATTGCTGTCAAGCCTTCCCCAGCTTGCTCTGCAGACTCAGTGCAGGCCTGTCAAAGTTCTGGCAGTTTGTTTCATGCATTTCAGCAATCTGGTTCTTCAGCATAGATGTGAAAGTCCCAGAATAGACACCAAGGCATGGAAGGAAAAAAATAAAGTTCCAAGTCTGACCCTAATTGACTTCAAGATGTAGTATATAGGGGCCAGCCAGATGGCAAGGCAGGCTAACCCTCCACCCTGTGGTGCTGGCATCCCATATGGGTGCCGATTCATGCTCTGGCTACTCCAGTTCTGATCCAGTTCCTTGCCTGGGAAAGCAGAGAAGAATAACCCCAAGTCCTTGGAACCCTGCACCCACGTGGGACACCCAAAAGAAGCTCCTGACTCGCAGCTTCAGATCAGCTCAGCTCTGGCTGCTGTGGCCGTTCGGAGAGTGAATCAGCAGGTGGAAGACTTTATCTCACCTTCTCTCGCTATAAATATGCCTTTCAAATAGAAATGCATAAATCTTATTTTTTTAAAAAAAAATTTAAAGTCTTAGTATAAAGCTGCAGTAATGAAGAATGTGTGATAACAGCTGAAGTGCAGAGGCTGACCTCGTGGAATAGCCTACAACAGCACACGAATACAGCCGGCTGAGCTTTGCCCGACGGGGAGAGTACAGAGAGGCCGAGTTCTTTGCACAAGTGATGTTGGAACTTCTGGACTTCCCCATGCAAAGCAGTGAACCTAGGGGGCCGCTAGAGGGCGCTGATGACACACGGTTGGTGTGCGGTGGTTACATTGTTACTTGGAATACTCACATTTCCTATGAATTCCAGCCCAGTTCGAGTTCCAGCTTGGCTTCCAATCCCGGCTCTCACTGGGAGGCAATGGAAGATGGCTCTGTGAGTTCCAGGCCCCTGCTGTCGGGCCGGCCGACCAAACCTTAGTTGTTGCAAACATTCAGGGAGTGAATGAACAGATAAAGGGTCTCTCACTGTCCCTGCCCCTCAGCTTTGCAGAATTTAAATAACTAATTGTTAAAATGGAATCTGGACACACAGACCTTGCATTCCTCAACAGACGGACTCAAAGTCAGTCGGAGACACGAGGGTCAGAAGCTGAACTGAAGATAGGAGAAAATGTAGATAACATGGGATTTGGTGACAGCCTTCTAATCGGGACCGAAGGGCACAGACCGTGCAAGAATCGGTTCACTAGGCTTTATTAGAATGAACTGACCAGACGAGATGGCAAGGCACAGACTAGGAGGAAACACGAGCCCAGTGCTCACCTGATAAAGGACTGTGAGCTGAACTATATAAAGACCTCCTGGAAGCAACGGCCAGCAAAGAAACAACCTGCTCTTAAAATGATCCTGACACAGAGGCCGGAGGGAAGGTGTGCTGCATCCCTCATCAGGGAGAGCAGCGAAGCATCACCCTTCAGGGCTTTCAGAACAGGCAAGACCCAGAAGGCTGGCAGGGCTGGCCAGGGCCCTAATGTGGCCAACACCGGGACTCTGCTTTATGGCTGAGGCGAGGCACGAAGGTGCAGCCCCTTTGAAATGCCTTTCGGCAGTGTCTGAACAAAATTAGTTGTGCTGTTACCACCCGTGTGTGCCAGCGCCTATGCCCCTTTGGGATTCCTACCCTCCACCCCACAGAGAACCCGGCACAGGATCCCACCCAGGGGGATGTGTCGTGACGTTGCGTGTCATCGCCCAGATTTGGAAGGGAGCCGAGGCATCCTGCAGCAGGTGAAAGAGTAAACCCGGTCTGGCTCATCCATACCACAAAGTATCATCCAGTAATTAAAAAAAAAAAAGGAAAAGTGCTATGAAGCCATGAAAAGGCGCAGCTGTGTTTGGAACAAGGAAACCAGGCTGCCCGGGCCTGCCCCTGGTATTCTGGGAAGGGCAGTGCCCTGGGGACTCCTCAGGGGTGGCCCAGCTGCCTGGGATCGGGGAAGAGGCAGATGTGTGAAGGGATTCTGTGGCTGCCCCAGTGGCGCATGCGCATGTACAACACGCTGAGGAGGGATGCTGAGCTGGGAGAGGCTGCACGTGTGGGCGCGTACCTTCCTCTCCCGACCGTGACCATGAAGCTGCTCTGGGTGCCTAGCGTTGGTAACCCAGGTGAGCATGTTCACGTTTCCATTCCTGTGGTATTTAACGAAAGCACACTTCCGGGACGGAAGTTCGGCCGGTCACAGACCTGGTCGTGGAAACATCCAAGGGGTTCCACCGGACACAGCAGAGTAAGGTGGCTGAGCTGAGCCCTTTGCCCAGCATTGTGGTCATGGGAAGCTTGAGCGTGCGTAGTGCCCTTCCAGGGACGGCTGCTGTTGGCTCTCCTTCTGGGTCTTCCCTGCCGCACCATGAGCGGATGCAGTGCCGCTGTGTCTGAAGCCACCAGCGTCGTTGGCATGGCAGCAGCTGGCTGGCAGGGCCATGCGCTGGTCTGCTGCTTCCTGGCTGCTGGGCCGAGCCTGATGCTAGGCATTTCTGCATGCCCATATGCCATAGCCTCTTACCTGTCCGGTGCCCTGTTGATAAATCCTGGCAGGTCCACTGCGTCTTGCTGGTAGGACCGAGCAGTGGAAAATACAGACACACATGGCCTTTCACAGGTCTCTGGGGCCTCCAGGACAGGAGCAGTGAGGCAGGGGGCAGGCGTGGTGGAGATTTTATGAAATATCACCAGGTGCTGCTGTGGCACCTGGCACGCTGTTCCGCTCATCGGGGGTTGCTTTCCCAGTGTGCTAGTCTCACATTTCGGTCTTTTTTAATCTGAAAAGTGGTCTCATCTCTCTTTTTTTAAGGATTTATTTGCAATGCAGGGTTGCAGAAAGAGAGAGAGAAGGAGGGAAAGATCTTCCGTCTTCTGGTTTACTCCCCAGATGGCTGCAGTGGCTAGGACTATGTCAGGTGAAAGCCAGGAGCCAGGAGCTTCTTCTGGATCTCCTGCTGGGCGCAGGGCCTGAGCACTTGGGCACTGTCCCACTGCCCCCGTAGGTGCATTAGCAGGGAGCTGTTTGGGAGCTCCCTGGAATGCCTGTGGTACAGGTGGTGGCTTGAGGCACTGTGCCATAGTCCCGGCCCCTCACTTTAATCCTGGTCCTCATTTCTATTCATTTTTGAGAGAAGGTGTGCATTTTTATAATCTTTTTAAGAGCCATCTCTTCTTCTCTGGAAGCCTTGTAGGTCTTTTATGTTTGATGTTCTGAAAATACAACCCAAAAAAAAAGCAAGAAGCAGGGGTGTGGTGTAGTGGTTTAGACTGCTTGGGTCACCGTCATCCCGTGTTGGGGTGCCTGGGTCACGTCCCAGCTGTTCCACTTCCAGGCCAACTTCGTGTGTACCCCGAAAGGCACCAGCAGCACATAGCGGTGGAAGTACCGGGGCTGCTATAGGAAATCTGGATGAGATCCCAGCTTCTGCCTGGCCTAGTCCCAGCCTTGGCAGGCATCTTGTGGAGCAACCCAGCTGATACAAAAGCATGCGTGCTCTCTCTCTCTCTCTGCCTTTCAGATAAAGTGAAAAATAAATAAATAAAAAAGAAATGTGTTGGTGGAGCATTGGTTCACAGAATGTGCCCTTTCAAATGGAAAATATGTCCTCAATATTTGGAAAGTTCCTCCTGTATTTCTTTTAGTTCCTCTTTTTTATTTCCTCTGGAGCCTCCTTCATCTTTTTTTTTTTAAAACAGCTTTGAGGGTTTTCTTTCAATTTCTCTTCTCAATATGTTTGTCAACCCCTTAGGAGAATCATGTCCCTGTTCACCAGTTGTAGCAAATGTCTCCCTCTGGTGGGGCATGCTGGTAGTGCAGGAAGCTGTGTGTGTGGAGCAGGAGGAATATTTGGATCTGGTGCTGCAGACCGCTCGGCCACCCTGACACATTGGAGGAATATTTGGGAGCTTTGTACTGCCTGCTCAACATTGCTGTGTCTTCTGGTCCCCAAACGGCTCTCACAGAGTCTGTGTCAAGGGGCAAATCTGGAAGTCATGCTTTTTTTTAAAGCTTCCGCTGTGGTCTGAGAGTGTCAGGAATGGCAACCCTCAGTTCCCCCTGTGGAGGCAGCACCTGCAGGTGGGGACCAGGTCACGAAGGAGCGGGTGGGCACTGTGCCGAGGGCAGGGTGGGTTCTCACAGGAGTGGGCTCCTGCAAAAGGCAGGACCCGCCCCCTCCTGCGCAGGGGCGCATGCACCCTGCCCGCCCTTGCACGTCTGCCCAGCATGAGGCAGCCGGAAGACTCCTGCTTTATGACATGGGACTTCCAGGCCTGGACGGTGGAGAGTCACCCGGTTACCCAGCGTGAGGGATGGCTGCCAGCGACACGGGGTAGTTGCAACAGTTTCTGAGCTCCCTGCTTTGTTCTCTGGTTTGCTGCTTCTCCATACTTCCTTCACAGTTGTACTGCACTCTGGAATAGAAAGTAGATTTTTTTCTCGTGTCATCTTAGGTAGAAGGCAGAATTTTCTTTAAAGGCTTGCTTCTGATTTATGGGAAAGGCAGAGTTAGAAAGAGAGAGGTAGTTCTTCTATCCTCTGGTACAACTGAGGCTGGGAGCCCGGAACTCCATCCGGGTCTCCCACACAGGGCATCCTCTGCTGCTTTCCCCGCGCTTTAGCTGGGAGAGGATTGGGAAGTGGAGCAGCTGGGATTCAAACTGGTCCCCCTCCGGGATGCTGGCGTGGCAGGTGCGTCTCCGCTCACGCGCTCACGCAGTGTCATCTCCCCGGGAACAGGAGCAGATGTCTCAGGTGTTGGACGCCATGTTCGAAAAGCAGGTCAAGGAAGGAGAGCACGTCATCGACCAAGGTGATGACGGGGACAACTTTTACGTCATCGACAGGTACGTTCTCACACAGCCGCGCCGCGGGCACCAGGAAAGCTTTGGCTTCCTTCTCAGCGGACAGACCGGGCCAGCTGGCATGGTGGCGGACACCCAGCCGCCGTGACCTCACGCGCTCTGTGCTGCGTTGCAGGCTGCGTCACCTGCATGACCGCCTGCAGGAGACATACTGCGGGTGGGCTTTGGGCTCATCGGCACATCCCAGTTCATTCGGTCTGAACGTTGCTGACTTCTGGGAGGCGGCCCGTCGGAGGCTGTTAGTGGGTCCTAGAGGTTCAATGTGGTAAACGGAAGTTGGAGCCCAGCAGCTGGGACGCGGAATCACCATGACTCAGAGCGTGTTAGGTTTGGAAGAAGGTTCACGTTTGTGAACTGTAAAAATGAAATGTATCTTTTCATCCATCAGCTCTTAGAGGCTCCCACGGCTTGTCCCGTGGCCTCTGCCCTGATGCCTTGCAAGGGCCCTGTTACTCAGGCACCGGGCTAGACTCTCGGGATGCAGTCATCCCACGTGGAGCTCCATGGCCATGGCCCTGGGGTCACCGATGGCTCCTCAACTACAAGGCCGCAGGAGCCTTTCAGTTCCATGTGTTCCAGTGCCAGAGCTCTGCGAGGACCCCCACACAGCACAGCGCTGAACTGATCTTTTTGGGTGGTGGGGCAAGGTGTGTGTGTGTGTGTGTGTGTGTGTGTGTGTGTGTGTGTGTGTGTAATTGATTATGTTCAGCCCTAATGTGAACTGATTGGTGTTGCGGCCCGACCTGGCCCATCCTGCACCCCATCCTGGCTCTCAGAGTGGTCCAGCCCTAGACCTGAGCCACATGTATGGCCTGTCCTGCTCTGGGCTGCTCTCAGCCTTGGTTCTCGCGCTCGCCTGCAGGGACTGCATCTTGACTGCTCTGTCAGGTCTCCTCCGCACGGCAGATCTCTCGCACGCTGGTGGGTCCTTCGCCCGGCCTGACTTAGTCCACCTCCTGTCCTGGCAGGAACAATGGCCTTGCCCAACCAGCGCATTTCTTCTGGTTGTTACTGTTGGGTGTTATAGCCACACCTGAGCCACACCCCAACACAGCTCTTGCGCATTGGGAGCCAAGACCTAGCACAGCCAGTCCTGCTCCTGCCTGGCTCTCAGAAGCACCAGTAGGTGTTGGAGTCAGGCTCAGCCTGGCATACCCCAGACCCAGTCCACAGCCATGCCAAGGGACATTGCAGTCATGTCCAGGCCAGATAGCCACCCCCATTCTGGCAGAGCACCCACCCAGCCAGGGCGTCCCCTTACTTCTCCAACCAGGCCTGCTCCCAGCCAGAGATTTTGCACATGCCAATGGTTGCTCTGATCCAGCTTGCCATAACCCATCCCCCATCTTGGCCTTTGCCATTGGATGCTGCAGCCTGACCTGTCCCGGCACACCCCCTGTCCCAACTCTCCCTTCTCCTCACATCCGGGCTTCTGCAAGCGTTGGACTCATGCTCTCTCTCTGAGCACTCGCTTGCTCTGTGTGGAAAGGCGCTGTCCGTGCAGGAATGGGGCCGAGGGCCCGGGTGCCATGTGGGTCAGTGACCTGCCAGCCGAGTCTCATCTGAGAAAGCGTGTCCAGAAATCAGCACAATAAAACCGGGAAAGACCAGGGTCGGATGCTTAGTCTGAATTTTTCCCACCTTTTCCCTTGAGGCTGAGGGCCGAGCCCAGTGAAAGGCCAGGTTAGAGGGCAGATATTTCAGCTTTGGAAACTAGTATGGCCCAGCTCCCCACCGTGGCTGCATTGGCACTAAGCCAGCCACATCATGTAATGCATGTTCAAGGGCCCAAGCACATGGGCCATCCTCTGCTGCTCTCCCAGGTGCCTTGGCAGGGAGCTGGGTCAGAAGTGGGACACAAACTGGTGCCCATCTGCGATGCCGAAGGTGGAGGTGGTGGATTAACCTGCTATGCCACAGCACTGCTCCCTTTAGTTAAGGTGTGGGTGTCCCTGGAGTCCTCACTGCCCTTACCTGTGGAGATAGGAAGGGCGCTGTTTGAGCTGTGTTCCCGCCGTCGGCTTCTCTATCTGAAGTAGTGGCTGATAGTCCTAGTACCTTCTTCTCATTTCTTTTGATTATCTTGAAATTTACCATAGACCTGTCCCTGGTTTCCCAGCCTACACATGTGTATGTCCCTGACCCTGGCACTTGTTGTCATCCGGGGGAAGCCGGGCGGGCAGGAGATGTTACTGCACAGGCCTCTGCTCAGAAATGGAGTTTGATTGTAATGTGATTTTCCTCGACTCATTTTGACCTCTCCTTGGCTTATGCCCAACAGAGGGACGTTTGACATTTACGTCAAGTGTGACGGTGTGGGGAGATGCGTCGGCAACTACGATAACCGAGGGAGTTTCGGCGAGCTGGCCTTAATGTACAACACGCCCAGAGCAGCTACAATCACCGCTACCTCTCCCGGTGCCCTGTGGGGCCTGGTGAGTACGCCTCCTCTCCCGGTGCCCTGTGGGGCCTGGTGAGTACGCCTCCTCTCCCGGTGCCCTGTGGGGCCTGGTGAGTACGCCTCCTCTCCCGGTGCCCTGTGGGGCCTGGTGAGTACGCCTCCTCTCCCGGTGCCCTGTGGGGCCTGGTGAGTACGCCTCCCCTCCCGGTGCCCTGTGGGGCCTGGTGAGTACGCCTCCCCTCCCGGTGCCCTGTGGGGCCTGGTGAGTACTGCCCACGGGGCCTGAGAACCCCTGTTGGAGAGAATGAGCATTCTGGAGCCAAGCAGAGGGGAGGGTGGACATTTTTAATTATCTGCTGGTGGTGGTGGTTTCCACCTGCCACAGCTGAGATTGGTCCAAGTCTCTGATGGGGTGGAGGGTGGGCCAGCAGCCCAGCTGTTCGAGCTGTCCTTTGCTACCCCCTAGTGTACACGGAGAAAGCTGTGGTTGGTCACACAGCCAGGACTCAGAGCCTCTACCCCTGGGAAGAGGCATCCAGTTGCTAGGCCAGATGCCCACCCCCTCAGTGCAGGAGCTTTGGGGAGCGAGGCACCTGCAGGCTCGCATCCACCCCAGCATCTTTCCCCACAGCTCTAGTTCATTTAAATTCAGCCCAAACATGTTGGCATTGTAATTCGTTGACTAAGTAGCTGCCCCACTCTGACCCAGCTCTGTGCTGACACAGCTGGGAAGGCTGTAGAAGCTGGGCCAAGGGCTGTGGGAGAGCCCCAGGGAGCATTCCTGGCTTCTGGCTTTGGCCTGGCCCAGACCAGTTCTCTGTGCCTCGCCCATGCCCTCTATGGTAAACCTACCTTTTCAATAAATAAATATTTAAAAAATAATTTATTCTAATTTTTACTTAAATGAAGTGGTATGGTCATTTATTACCAAATGCCAAAACAGTGTAATTATGGAAGCTTTAAAAAAAAAAAAAAAGAACTGATTTCTTCTTTTTTATTTTCTTGAGAAGCAGAGTGGCAGAGAGAGATCTTCCATCCTCTGAATGCCCGTGACAGGCTGGGGCTGGTTAAGGTTGAAGCCAGGAGCCAGGAGTTCTAGCCTGGTCTCTACATGGGGACAGGGCGCAGGCACTCGGGCCATTGTCTGCCAGGCACGGTATGGTACCTGGAGTCCCAAGTGGTGCCTAACGTGCTCTGCCATGATGCCTGCCCCTGCAAGTTTTTAGTTAGAATTAATTATATATTTTTTAAAGTAAAAAGTGTAGGAGAATCATCCAAGTTGTCAGACTTAAAAATGTCTGTAGTTCCTCAGTTTCCAAGTCTTCGAGGTCATGTCATATAAATTTGGAACATAGTAGATTATCAACATGATAAACTATGCAATTAATCTTTAGGAAAGTTGTCAGCTCTGTGTGTCTTACATTTTCAAAAATTTCTGCTATCATGTGCACACAAATATAATAAGGACTTCTACACATTTCAAGATCTTTTAGCTTCTAAATGTTTTGGGGCTTCTTCTTTTTTTTTTTTTTTTTAAGATTTGTTTATTTTTCTTGGCAAGACAGATATACAGAGAGAAGGAGACAGAGAGAAAGAAAGATCTTCCATCTGCAGGCTCACTCCCCGCGTGGCTGCAGTGGCCGGAGCCGAGCCAGTCCCAAGCCAGGAGCCAGGAGCTCTTCCAGGTCTCCCACACGGGTGCAGGGTCTCAAGGCTTTGGGCTGTCCTCTGCTGCTTTTCCAGGCTACAAGCAGGGAGCTGGAAGGGAAGTGGAGCAGCCAAGACACAAACTGGTGCCCGTATGGTACCCTGGCACGTACAAGATGGGAATTTAGCTACTAGCCCGTTGTGCCAGCTGCTTTGGCTTAATTTTTTTCTTTTTAAATAGAAGTTTCCATGTGTCTTCTTAGAGCCTACATTAGGAACTTCAGAACAAGGATATTTGTTTTTTATTAATTTGTATACGATTGAATAAATGTGTAACAAAAACCAGTCTTACAAGGAATTCGCCCCAAGATTTCTAATTTTTTTTTTTGGATAAAAATGCTGATCAGAGCCCCCCAAAGTAAAACAACACTGCTGTGGATTCCATTTTATAAAACAGGGTAACAGCACCCCCTTGTGGGTATAGCTGAAATTGTTGATCAGTCCTCTGTTAGAAATAAACGCTAACTCCTTTTTCTGGCTAAGTGACAGTGTTTTTATAAAGTTCTAGCTGATGTTTTGTGCTTTAAGAACTCAAGAGTCTGAAGTGAGCTACAGAAGGAGTGAGGTGATGTTCGTCTTTTATTGCACATTCTCCAGTTATCGGCCACACCGTCCAGGGAATAAAGTAAAACTGTATGTTCAGACTTTTTTTTTTCTCCCTAAATTTTAAGTGTCTTTGTCTTTCCTGTTCCGCCTTTAGGACAGGGTAACCTTCCGGAGAATAATTGTGAAAAACAATGCCAAAAAGAGAAAAATGTATGAGAGCTTTATCGAGTCACTGCCATTCCTCAAATCGCTGGAGGTCAGTACGTGTGCCTTTTTTCCCTTTGCTTCTTGGGGTCTTCTGATTATCTGGAAAAAGTTTGAGTGAAAAAGAAAAAAAAAATCTTACATTTTTATTTAAAAGAACAGAGTGGAATGTGTGTGTGCCCCCATTTCTTTTCCCACCCGTAAATCTAGGTGCTTGTGGCTTGCAAGTTCTGGGCTGCTGCCCGAACTGGCCGTGTGCCACTGCACGCGTGGGGGGCACCGACTGCCAGGCGCGCCTTGTCCAGGATGTGGCGTCCACCCTCAGTCTGGCCTCACTGGCCTCTGGCCCCATTTATGTCTCTTCCTTCTCTCTCTTACAACGGGCATTCCAGGCCTCCTCCATCCGGGCTCTCTGCTTCTCCCCCAGGCTACACCTCCTGCCCCCTGGGTGGGAGAATCCCACTGAGCAGACACTGAGCCCTGCTGGAATACCAGCCTCGCTTGCCCCCGCTCCCGCAGGCTGCCGTGCCCTCCTCCCGGATGTCTGACCTGGCATCTCCTCCTCCCGTGTCTCCTCACCTCCCTGCCCCCTCCCCCCCCCCCCGGGAACAGGGGTTCAGCCCGGAAGCTCCCACTGACTCATCTGCCCTGGCCGCTCACATCCCTCTTATCTCGGGGATCCTATCCGCCCCTCTCCTTGGGAATACATCCAGCACGCCATCACTTCCCACTTCCTCCCCACCGGCAGCTGCCGTGAGAGCGTCTCCTCTCGCCTGGCTTCCACCAGCCCCCAGAGCCATCTTGTGCAAAGCAAATGGCAACACCTCTGTTTGAGTCGCTCTCTCTGTCCTGCTTCCCTACCGCCTCCTGCTCTGGACAGGCTAGCTTCTTACTGGTCCTCGGCAAGCCCGGCCCCGCCCGCTGCAGGACCTTGGCACAGGCCGTCGTGTCTCAGGTCCCCTGCCTCTCAGCCCTCATCCTCCGTTCAGGTCCCAACCCAGAAGTTGTGTCCCTAAGACCTTTTCATCCTGGAAGGTAGAGACCCGGGAGGAAATATGTGGGCCGTTGTGATCCTCAGCCTTCAACTTGCCTCTCAGTTGTGAAAACTCAGTGCTTGTCTAGACATTCCAGTCTCCTGTCCAAAGTGTCGGGGAGTAGGCGGAGAAGGACATACCTGCACGCCCACAGCGTCCTGGCACACGGCTCGTGCCCCAGAGAGAGACCGCAGCGGCCCCGCTTGTCCCCAGGCCGCCGTCGGCCCGCAGCTGGCAGCCCTAGCTCAGGATGCAGGTTGGGGCAGCTGGCTACAGCACCGGATCCGGGCCTGGGGATCGCCGAGTCCAGTGACTTCGGAGTGAGGGACGGGGACTTGGGCACGTGGGGAGCATGTGCTGCAGCCACAGAAGCAGCTGTGGCTTCGTGGCTTTACAGGTGTCCATGGCCAGGTGGAGACCCGGGCCCAGAGGTGCTGAGTCTTGGGTGGCTTCAAGAGGAACCGGCAGGTTGAATTTTCAAAGCTAGCAGTTAGTGACTGCAACTGGCGCAGGTGGGCGCAGGTGGGCGCAGGTGGCTTCGTGCATGCGGCCTGCTACCTCTACTGCAGAAAGATCACCCCGTCCGTTTCTAACACTGCTGTTCCTTCCCCTGTAGGTTTCTGAACGCCTCAAAGTGGTGGATGTGATAGGCACCAAAGTGTACAATGATGGAGAACAGATCATCGCTCAGGTAGGGTCGGTCTTCGCGTGTGATTAAGCCTCTGCTCAGAGCGCACAGTGCTTCTAAAACGTCCTAAACAGGGATCAACTTTCCATACGTTTTCCAGAACGAGTGAGCCCTGGTGGGTTCCACGGATGTGATGTCTGCCAAATGACCTGTTAAAAAGCAGGTCTGTTTGCAAGCCTTTAAGCTGTTTGCCTGCATTTGTTTGCATCACTAACTCCTCATGAATATGTGCGAAACCGTCAGCTGGTGTTCTGCATAAATTTACATTTGCACTCATAGATACATGAAGAGTAAGAGATGCAGGGGCTTGTTGCGTGAGAGCGGTAAGGTCTGCGGGGACCCAGGGGCTTATGCGTGGTCAGCTGACTGAGCCTCCCGGGGGAACACACCACCCCATACATACAGACTTCCAGGCAACAAATGGGGCCCCGGGTGTTACTGCACCCCTAGCGCTTTTCTCAAACCTTGCTCTATTATCACACACCGTGGCTAGAACAGGTCTGCCAGAAGGGCGGGTTCGTGCAAGGACTTGAGTCAGCAGAGTAAAGCATGCAGAGGACAGTTCTTTATTTCTTAAATCCGTTTTGGAAGCACCGAGCAAGCAACGTAAATGGGTTTTGAAGAGATTCTCTACGTTCTGGGTCACAGCAGTATGCCGCGTCGTGTTCTTTATCTGAAATGGCAACTGTCTCTTTCTTTGCAACTGAGATCCCATGGGCTGTGCAACTAAGGAAAAGATCCCTGCTTCTTCAGGACAACTAACCGAGGCAGTCTTCCAGTTTGCCCTCTACTGTGCGTGTGTGTGTGTGTGTGCACGCGTGTGTGTGTGCGCGCGTGTGTGTATGAGTTAGCACAGGCAGGGGGCTGGGAGGAAGCCGACTCAGTCTGCAGGACTGGGTAGAGGCTCTTGTTTATATCTAAGTAGGTAAATGGCAGACGACCCAGAGTGTCTTGGTTTTTTTTTAAGGATCTTCCACAATTCAATTTTCTGAGAATTGTAAACTCGTGAGAAGTTGCAGACTTGGCCCCAAGAGGTCCCCTGCACTCCTCACCCAGTTGCGCCAGTGCGTCTTGCGTCACGGCCGTGCAGGGTCAAGGCCGGGAAGCTGACGCAGGCAGAGCCACAGGCCTTGTTCAGATGACAGTTCCACCTGAACTTGGAGCGTGTGTGAAAAACAAGCAGGAAGGTACTGGCCCTGTTGGGATTCAAGACAGTTGAACATGTAGGGTGAAGGCTCTTCTGAGAACCCAACAGAAAGGAAAAAAGATACACTGTATTTTGCGTTTATTCAGGTTTTTTCAGATGTGTGTATGTGTTGTCTTTGAAGCATTTGTCAGCATACACATCTCCCCTGTGTTCTAGAAAATCTAGATTCAGCACCCATTTTCAGTTTTATTTATGTGAGAGATGGAGTTCCCATCCTTTGGTTCACTCCCCACATGGACACAGTGGCTTGGGGACCAGGTCAGGGCTGGAGCCAGGAACCCAGAACCCAGTCCCCCGGTCTGCCCCGCGGTTGGCAGGAACACAGCACCCGAGCTGTCAGCGTCGCCTCCCAGGGGGCGCAAGGGCGGGGAGCTGGAGCCAGGCTGGAGCCAGGTGTGGAAACGAGACCCTCACTCCCGTGAGCAGGAAGGGCGCGTGAACCGTGGGGCTGGACACCCACTCCTTCCACGAGTATTTTTCCGATGTGATCTGACACTATTCTTTGCATTGTACTAACAAATCTCGGAATGCCTGGGTTCTCTAGAATCACTTTCCGAGGCCTGTGGTACTGTGTTCCGTTGTGTACCTTTTTCTCTCTTAAGCGTGAGTTATTTGAAAGGCAGAAATATAGGGAGGGAGGGAGAGAGGAAGAGAGAAAAAAAGAGCGAGAAAGAGCTCTCCCATCTACTGGTTCGCTCCCCAAATGGTCCCAGTGACCAGGCCTGGGCCACGCCAAAGCGAGGAGCCGGAAGCTTCTACCGGGTCTTCCTTGTGGGTACAGAGCCCCAAAACTTGGATCATCTTATTCTCTTTCTCGGGTGCATTAGCAGGCAGCGGGATAGGAAGTGGAGCAACTGGAACACAAACCTGCCTCGCCAGTGTCACAGGCAGGGCTTCCCCCGCTGTGCCACAGCACCAGCCACCACTGAGTGCCATTTAATTCAGAGGGCATTTCTGGACATTTCATTAAGGAGAAAAGCAACATGTCTGTATTTAGAAATAGCAACACATCTCCAGGATTGTTTGAGCGCGTGCAAGCCGTGGCGGGCTGCCCAGAGCCTCGCATTTCTGACTTGGATCTTGAGCTCCTTTGTAGCAGAAGTACCAGAGCCCGTGTCCACTAGCCAAGTACCCACCTAGCTGCTTTCTGCGCTTTGGTGGGTGGTCCTGGTCACCATGCCCATGCTGGGCATGTTGAGGGGACACAGGAGAGCCCATTCCATGTCCCCATACAGCACCGTCCACCCACTCAGTGTTACCGGTGGAACCTGCCAGGCAGAGTGTAGAAAACAGCCTCAGCTTAGTGCCACTCACCTTCTGATCTCAGCTCTTCACGGACACGCTGTGGTAGAGAGAAAAATCACAAGGCTGGTATGATGGCTTAATGGGCTAATCTTCCACCTGCAAGCGCCAGCATCCCGTATGGACCCCAGTTTGTGTCCCAGCTGCTCCACTTCTCATCTCACTCCCTGCTAGGAAGACAGTAGAAGATGGTCCAAAACCTGGGGCTCCTGTACTGAAGTGGGAGATCCGGAGAAGGCTCCTGGCTCCTGGCTTCGGATTGACTCAGCACTAGCCATTGCAGCCATTAGGGGAATGAACCAGCAGATGAAATCTTTTTTTTTTTCCCCTCCATCTCTCTCTAAATCTGCCATTACAGTAAAAATAAATATTTGAAAAGAGAGAGAGAAATCAGTTATAATACATTTGCAAATAAAACAGCATGGAATTGTCAGCTTTGGCACAGAGAAGGCCTGTTCCCACGGGTGGCATTTGATCCAGCCTGCTGATCCTAGGGTCCTTGGGGCTGTGCTGTGTCCAGGGAGCTGCTGGGTGACTTGGGTGACATCATGCCCACGTGCCTTTTCACTCTGTCGCTTGATCCCAACAGGGAGATTTGGCTGATTCTTTCTTCATCGTCGAGTCTGGAGAAGTGAAAATTACCATGAAGAGAAAGGTAACCATTTTTATTTCCTTTAAAAAAAAAAATCCACAAATCCGCAAAGAATACGATAGACTTTTGGATGTGTAGCCTAAGGTGAGCTTCTGTTTCCTAAGCTGATGGAAGATGTCTCTGATTGCTTTGTCAGGGCAAATCTGAAGTGGAAGAGAATGGCGCCGTGGAAATCGCCCGCTGTTCTAGGGGACAGTACTTCGGGGAGCTGGCCCTGGTGACGAACAAACCTCGGGCAGCTTCTGCCCACGCCATCGGGACCGTCAAATGCCTAGGTAGGGCTGGCGGCCGCCGTGCCATGTCTGCCCTCTGGGTGCTCAGCTGGTATGGGTCTGTGGGGTCTGCAAGTTTAGTGGCCCTCATGAAATGGAACAAATGTTTGGGGAATTACTGCATTATATATATATATAAAAGTCATCTATGGAACCTGTGTTGTTCTTGGAAAATTTTCTCCTACAAGTATATTTTGCATAAAAGAGCATCGCATTTTTGTAATGCAAGGGAGAATCCTAGGCCACAGGTTTTGTCCCTGACCTGCTCCTCCAGGGGAGGAGGCTTGGTAATGTTTTGTTTCATTTTCACAGGGTCGTTGAGACCTAGAGACGTGTTGGCATCAGGGAAGGCACAGTCCACCAGGCCCGGGGATCCCCCGGAGCACAGTGTCATGTTCCTTGCTACTTTCTTGCGCCACCGTGACCCACAGTGACGTGGCAGATAAGACATCTGCAGTGGGAAGGCGCCTGAATGGATCTGGGATTTTGGATGTACGGAATCGCCTCAATCATGTCAAATCCTGTTGGGAGGTGGCATTTTCTTTCAAAGATTTATTTTTATTATTTTTTTTATTGGAAAGGCGGATATACAGAGAGGAGAGACAGGGAGGAAGATCTTCCATCCGATGATTCACTCCCCAAGTGAGCACAATGGCAGATGCTATGCCAATCCGAAGCCAGGAGCCTCTTCCGGGTCTTCCACACGGGTGCAGGGTCCCAAAGCTCTGGGCCGTCCTCGACTGCTTTCCTGGGCCACAGGCAGGGAGCTTGAAGGGAAGCGGGGCTGCCGGGATTAGAACCGGCGCCCATATGGGATCCCGGGCGTGCAAGGCGAGGACCTTAACCACTGCGCCACCGCGCCACCGCGCTGGGCCCGGGAGGTAGCATTTTCAAGACAAAAACAAACCCTGCAAGCTAGCCTCTCTGTGCTGTGCCACTTCAGAGGGTACAATGAGCAAAGATCCTCCTTAGAGCAGGAGCTTTTTCAAAGGTTTTAAATAAGTGGACTTGTCGAGTGATACACATAAAAAAGATGAAGACAGGGCCCAGTGTCATGGCCTAGCGACTAAAGTCCTCGCCTTGAACGCGCCTGGATCCTATATGGGCGCCAGTTCTAATCCCGGCAGCTCCACTTCCCATCCAGCTCCCTGTTTGTGGCCTGGGAAAGCAGGTGAGGACGGCCCAAAGCTTTGGGACCCTGCACCCGCATGGGAGACCTGGAAGAAGTTCCTGGATCCTGGCTTTGGATTGGCATAGCATCAGCCGTTGCGCTCACTTGGGGAGTGAATCATCGGACAGAGGATCTTCCTCTCTGTCTCTCCTTCTCTCTGTATATCTGACTTTCCAATAAATAAATAAATAAATCTTTAAAAAAGAAAAGAAAAGATGAAGACAGTAAGAAACTGACAGGCAATTTTCCTAAACAGGGCTATTAGACAGGAAAAGGTGACAAGTGCAATTCTGTTACATAAATATATATATATGTATAATATATATATATATTTATAACAAATTACATTCATATTCAAGAAAACCTGAGAAGTAAAGAAAATGTTGGAAAAAGTAAAACTCAGCCATACCATTACCACCCCTCTCATTTCCACTGTCAGAATTCTTTGTCTTTTTTTTTTTTTAATCCACATAGGTTTTCTGTTCTTAGATAATTTTGCAAACTGCTTTGTTCATTCATTATAACTTAGGAATATCCGATCTTATTACATCAAAGGTTAATATTAGATCTGCAAATGTTGTTTCTTACTTTATTACGTCATATGCTGATGTTCCACCAGAAAGATTATTTACTCACAGGATAAATTGTTTAGTCAGTCCCCACTACATATTTTGTAGGTCTTGGCTCGAATTTGTTTTAACATATTTTGTGAATTGAAGGCTTTCCTACAAAGAGAATTTTTCTTTAGAATTGGCTTTCAGGGGAAGGTTTCCCCCAAAAAACAAGGATTTTTTATAGATATTGCAATTAAAAGTTGCCAGTTTACAAGAATTCCCACTTACCCTATTCTTGTAAATGCTGCCCTTTTTTTTTAACCTTCACAACTTGGAAAGGGAAAGCAAGTGTATTTTTATCAGTAATTCCTACAAAAATTACTGGAAAATGTGATCCTATTTTCCATTTGACACATTACATATTCAGCTCTAAATGAGCCAGACCAGGAAAGTGATATGTAGCATGGACTCTCATGTGGACAAGAACATGATGTTGAATGCCATTTGGAGTCACACAGACAGAGTTACCAAAATGTAACAATTGGGCCCAACATTGTGGCACAGCAAGGTCACCCTACTGCCTGTGATGCTGGCATCCAGTAAGATCGCTAGTTCAAGCCCTGGCTGCTCCATTTCCGATCCAGCTCCCTGCTAAAGCAGCTGGGAATGCAGTGGGAGAGGGCCCAAGTGCCAGGGTCCCTGCACCCACATGGGAGACCTGGATGGAGTCCCCGGCTCCTGGCTGCAGCCTGGCCTAGCCCTGAACATTGTGGCCATTTCAGGTGTGAACCAATTGAAGGTCTCTCTCTCTCTCTCTCTCTCTCTCTCCTCTCCCTCTCTGACTCATGCTCCCTCTCTCTCCTCCTCCCTCTCTGTCACTCGGTTTATCTCCTTCTCCCTGTAACTCTGCCTTTGAAATGTTTTTTAAAAAGTAAAAATTATGGAAGAGAACATTTGTTTGGTCTGTGCAGCGGTAAGCCCTGAATGGACAGGGTAGCAAACGCCGTCCACGTGTGACCATGGTTCCCTTTTGGAAATAGAACTTGTCCTTGTGTTTTTTTCTTGTGCTTTCCACTGCTTCCCCGACCCCCACCCCCTGCCCCAGATTCCGTCACCGTGCTGTTCAACATGGAGCACATATGATTAGCGGCTGGTAAGCTCTGTGACTTTGAAGAGAATGTAACTTCTTTGCTGTCTGCTCTTCCCGTCCCTTAGCCATGGATGTGCAAGCCTTTGAAAGGCTTCTGGGGCCTTGCATGGAGATCATGAAAAGGAACATCGCCACATACGAAGAGCAGTTGGTGGCCCTGTTTGGCACGAACATGGATATCGTCGAACCTACTGCATGAAGCAAAAGGACGCTGCAAGAGACCCCCAAGTGACCAGTGACGCAGTAGTGGTTAGCCCGTTGAGGATGTGTTTGTCTAGATGCCAAGCATTTTCTGTGATTTCAGATTTCTTTTCTGTATCTTTTTTTTTTTTTACATTTATGATATATCAGTCAACAGTAGAGACTAATAGTCAATAGGCTTTCCCATCACTTTCTAAAGAGTAGTTCATAAAAAAAAAGTCAGCATATTGGTAAAAATGGCTTTCTACTCCACAAAATGGTTGGACTGAAAGGTTTATTCAGATGATTGTAATATATTGAAAGTATATGTGTTTAAGAAGATAATTAAAATATGCTATCCTGGATGATATATGTGTTTCACTTATTCAGTTGATAATCATATTAAGGACTGTGCCCATGTAAGAGGGACCTTGGCAGCGAATCTCTCCTTTTATAACTCATTATATATATTGCAAAACTTTTAATCATTCTTGTTTCAAACTTTTTCTGGCTTGATAAGTTATATACTGGCCTTGGCCTATTGGTGAAATGGTATAAAGCATCATATGCAATTTTAAAACTTTTTATAATTTTTGCAGTAACATACATTTTGACTTCTCTGATGTGATGTCAGTAGCCTGCATATTCCAGCAGTTTTAAGGACTGGCAATGTACTCATTATGATTGAAGAGATGGGGAAAGTATTTGTTTTCTTAGTTGGAAGATCTTAGTTGGAAGATTTTTTCATCCTGGATGTAATCTTCTTTTCATTTTGCAGTTGTCCACATTTTTTTTTTTATCTTTTAAAACTTTTGGTCTTGACACTGAAGGTCGCAAAGAGGTTGTGGGTTTTTTTTTGATTCATTTTGGTTTTTTTTAAGCTACTTAGGCTTATTGAAGCCAACATTTTTAAATTCTAAGCTCTAACCCTTCAAAAAACAAAAACTCACCTTTGCTAGAAAGATTTTGGGATTCTTATCAGCGTGGTCCCAGGAAAGCCGTTTGGTCCAGCCCGTGCCCGGGGTGACACAGTCCTGGGCTCTCCGTTCCTGTTCTGCTAACCCACGATCTGTCTCATCACTTAGTAACTGGTGCCGTTCATCTCTCGTTTTTTTTTCCCCTCTTAAAGATGGTTGAAAGAAATTTGTCCGAACAAAACCTGCTGTGCTGAGGAAAGGAGCTTCAGCCCCCACCGCTGAAACCATTAGGCCTCGCCATTTGCTTCCACGTAGACTCAGTAGTTTCGAAGTGCAGCATGAACTCAGCCCTCCTAGACTCCCGTTGCTCGCTGATAGGATTCTTGCCCTGCCACATGAGATGGCTTTGATTCTGTCCAACCAAAGCACTGTACCCTTCCATGTTCTCTGGGCCTTCAAGACCCTGATGGCTAGGGACATTGATTCTAACCAGTTGCTTGCTTTTTCAGTGAGCAGCCTGGTTTGGGGAAACATGTTTCAAAAGCATCTCTACATGGGTAAAATTGTTTTGTGGCTATGTTGGTCTTATTAGAGAATGTTTATGGTCCGACTCGCGTATGAAAACATGGTCAGAATGTTCACTGGATAATGTATATACAAGAAGTTTAAGAAGTATTATGTGAAGTATAACTTCAGCCACGTTTTAACATTTTAGAATGCTGTTTGACATTTTTGTGAAGTCTTCTTGTAGGAAAAGGGAACTTTCTACATGACTTGTTTTGGATTGGGGGATTTATTTTAAAAGCCATGTCTGTTAAAAATACAAATGAACTCAAATTCCTGGTTCATCATTCTGTATTCTTTATTCACTTTTTCAAGTTACCTTTTTTTGTTGCATAAGCTGATTGTCAACTATTCATGGAACAGCAAAACAAATGCCTGTTTAATAAAGAACTCTGACCAAGGCTATGTAAGCCAGTTACATTATTTTCAGTATTGGTTATATTTAAATTTTCCTTATAATAAAGCACACTTTTATAATAAAACACATGAATGACTGTTTTTAATGCTTTCTGTTTATTTTGTATGATTCACATATTAAATATATGCAATGGGCAGCATGATAGAAATACAACACATATTGACTGATAACCCCTAGGGAATAACATGGCAAGAATGTTTTGTACAGCAATGGGCTGATCCTATGTGTGAGAGTAATAACTGTAGTTATGTTGCAGATTAGAATCAATGAATAAATCTGGCCAACTAGGGAATTTATATGTAAAATGACCTAATTTAAGTGTCTCCATTTTGACTTGTGGATTTGCTTTGTTATTAGTACTATAGTTTATTTAATCTCTCACCAAGAGTCCTTTTAGCATTTGGGAATTCCGTTTATTTTTGTTCTTGATGTTGTTGTTGTTGTTGAGATTCATTTGATATGGCTGGAGGGAGGGATGTTTCTCGTTGGTTTATTCCTGAAATGACTGTCAGAGTCAAGGCCATGCCAGGTTGAAGTCAGAAGCCAGGGAGTCCATTCAGGTCTCCCACATGGGTGGCAGGAGCCCAGGTGCTGAGCCATCTACTGCTGCCTTCCTGGGTGCATTACCAGGGAGCTGAACTGGACGTGCACTGGGACTTCCAGTGTGCAGGCACTGCCTTAGTTCATTGTGACCCTGTCCAGCCCAGTCATGATGCACAGTGCAGGGCTAGGCAAGGGGTCTTGCATGCATTCCAGAAAACAAAGCTGCTTCACCTTATTTTTCTTAAATAAGCCTAAAGGAATTGATATGTGTTGTATTTCAACATGAGTTAGGGCTTGGTTCGTATATTTTAACACACTACCTGGAATGAATACACTTGGATAAAAATGGCAAAACCTCCAGCTATTAGGCCATTTAAAATGTTTAAAATGTGGTAAGTGAAATGACATGAAGCAAGGAATTTTGGATCTTTATTGAAATGTATATTATTTCAGTGCTAAGGTTTGTTTGTTAATGTTTCAAGGAGTCTTTAAAAAATGTGGGTACAATTTTTCTGAACTTTTGCCAAGAACTTGATATATCTAACAAAAAGATATATCTTTGAATGATCTTTGTCATTCTTACCTCAAATTAATATTGTGTAAGCTAGGGGGACCAGTAGTACAGCTTTATAAGGCAAGGCTTTGTTATATAGCTAGAGAGGGGATTCTAGTGTCTAAATAAAATGTTACCATGTAAGAATTAAAGGCTACAAAGAGTGCTGGCTTTTAAAGTGTAAGGTAAAACTTGATGTTGAGAAATAAAGTTTCTAAGATTTATTTATTTACAAGACAGAGATCAATCTGTCTGTTGGTTCACTCCCCAGATGGTCACAAGGAGCTGGCTGGGCCAGGTTGCAGCCGGAAGATGTTGGTTCATGTCCCAGCTGCTGCTTTTGTGATCCAGTTCCCTGCCAATAGCTTGGGAAAAGCAGCAGAAGGTGGTTTAAGTTGTTGTGCCTCTGCTACCTACATAAGAACCTAGGGAATCTTCCGGATGCAGCCTGGTCCAGCCCCTGTGACCGTCAGGGGAGAGAACCAACAGACAGATCAATCTCTGTCTTGAAAGCCTTGCCTTATAAACTGCAACGATGTGTGAGACGGAAGTCGTTATGTGCGTCATAAAAATGGGAGTCTAACCTACCAAGCAGATACGTCTCCCAGATTGTGACCATCACAGTCTTTCATTTTCCCCGATACAGAAGTCTATGTGTAAACACAAAATAATGTTGTGTTAGTGCCAGGCATAACTGGCTCCTTCTAACATGTAAATGCAGTTTACTCCTGAATGGAAAAGTTTAAAGCAACTCTTTTCTCCAGACACAAGGGGGAAAGTTGTAAATAAATCCCAGAATAACAAAAGAAACCTTGGCTCTTTACTGCAACAGCCCCTGTGTGAGATCCTAAGGATTTTCTCTTTAAGTTTGAGAAAGTTTAGCATACAGAGCTGTTGAGTGAGCCTCTGGGCAGGAATGCTGACTGCTCAGGAAAAGTCACTTCTAATTGCTGCCTTTCCATCTGGCTGAGAAACCTTCCTAGATCCTGATGAGGATGGTGAAAATGAACTACAACTTCACTGTCTGTTTTAAGCTAAAGGCTAATGTTTAGTATAAATATTATTTCTCTTAAAATGACTGTACTCTTAAAATCTAAACAAGTAGCATTTACAAAAAGATGAGCCCTGTTGTCAAAGAAAGCACAAGTGGAATATCTAATGCTGTTTGAATTTCAGAGTTTTTTGATTCTGAAATAGCTGTACAGATTTCTATCAGTGGAGCATCTCTATTCTGGAAATCCAAATTTCCAAAATAGAAATTTCCAGAATTTGAATTTTCAGATTAGGAATATGCAAGTTGTGATGACTACACAAAGAAAGTATTTGCAGCATATGAAAGCAAAGTCTGCTTTCAGAATGGCTTAGGACAGGGACGGGCGTTTGGCGTGGATGTTAAGGAGCCTGCTCCATGTCTGGATTGAATCCTGGCTCCAGCCCCCTGCTAATGTGCACACTGGGAGGCATCAGTTTGGGTCCCTGCTGCCCACGAGGGAGACCCAGACTGAGGACCAAGCTCCTGGCTCCAGTCTGACCCAGCCATGACCTTTGGTAGGCGTTTGGGGAGCGAGCTAGGGGATGGAAGATCTTCCATGTCTGTTTTTTAAGTAAAGTGAAAAACTTTCTACATGTGAGAAAAGAATTTAAGATGTTTATTTTTTAAAAGCCGTATTGCGTAGAGCCCAATAGTGTAACTGAATTCCATTCACTTATTCAATAGGTAGCAGATAGTTACTGATGGATCTGACAAGGTATTATGATTTGGAGGTGGTGACCAATAGGGAGCGGAAAAATGTAAATGCAGAAGGCAAAGCAAGTAGCAATGCAAACTGTATACACAGTCTTCTGACAACTTTTGTGGTTTTATGTCATTCTTTCCTAAAATGAAATAATTTTGACTATTACCAGCCACCCTCCCCCCCAAAAAAAAAGAATCCAAGGAGAGGAGCTAAGATCCCATGACATGAGAACATTTGAGCTTGTTTTTACGAATGAGAAGTGAAATGGAGCTGATCTGTTGCCTTCACCAACTATCTTTCTATTACTAGCGTACCAGGAGCTCCACAAAAATGTTTGGAGAGCAGCGGAGACCATATGGAATGATTCCTCTATGTCTAAGAGCACCCAGGTGGCTTGGAGTTGTGTGTGTGTGTATTCATTTTTTTGTGTTCTGTTTTCTTTAGACTTGGTTATCCTAAAAGCTATGAGAGTCGCAGCGGCCTCCAGGAGCCTACTCAACATTTCTCGGCTGCACAGCAAGCTTAGGTTTTTCCCTCTGGCGAATCCGCCTTCTCTCCAATGTTCCCTGACTCAGTAAGTAAGGTCACTACGTCACCATGAGCCAAGCCGTGATTGTGTCTTTCCTCTTCCATGGATTCCTCCTCCTAATGTTTGCCGTGCAGACATGAAAACTCCCCACCCCCCACACCATCAGCAGTGAAGCCAAGTCTTGCTTTACCGACATCTGAGCAAAATCTAACACTTAATTTGCATCAAGAATTGCCAGCTAAGGGACATGCAGTAATTACTAAGTTCTAAAATGGTCTTCATTAGCACCCACGCAACTCATTTCAGCCTGAGTTACCTGAGCACTTTGAACAAAGTTAATTATAAAATTCACTCATTTCAAATTACAGTAAGATATGTGGAAGGTTATTTGTATACATTCAAGTAATCTATCAAGAAAAAAAAATGGGGCACTTACTATTTTAAATTATGCATATGTTCTATTGCCTAATTTTCATAGCTGTTTGAGTGACCTCATTTGATTAAACAATTTGAAGAGGGATATTCTCAAAGTTCAGGCAAATTCTATGTGTTTGAATGCCTTATTTCTTAGTTTAGCAAAGTAATTGTTGGTGGACCAGCTACTGAGAAATCACAAGACATGCAGTGTTTTCATTTCTAGTTGGGGCTGATCAAATTTATTTTACTATCTTTAACAAATAAGAACCTGACATTCACAAACTGCTAAGAAGACATTTGATTTGAGGGGACAGTTCCTCTGACATCTTTGGGCGCGAACTCTACGAGTGTGCATGTGCGTCCAGATGTATGTTGTGTTGGCCCTAGCCAACAGAAGGCGCTATCTGAAGACACTGACTTTAGTGCCAGTGTGATCGTGGAAGTGTTTGAAGGATAGATAAAATCTGTAATTATGCCTGTTTTAGTTTTAAAAATATAATTTACATCTGTCAAAATTTCCATGGGAGATCTCACTACCTCTGTACTTTGATCTTTATTCTGCCTTATGAGTTGGCTGCAATAGTTGCTTACTCAAGAATTAATGAGGATGTTCTTAAATACATAGGAACCACTAATGTGGTCATTTAACTTCCCAGGGAAGTCAGCAGACTGGACTAAGTGTCCACTTAAAAGTGCCAAGGAGCTAATAGCAGTCTTTAATCAGCTGTGACTGAACTGAGCTCAACTTATAAAACACTTGGAAAGACTGAAGTATTTTTTAAACAGGCTTCATGTCATTGCAGCCTTCTCATTAAGTGTTCCACACATAGCCTACCAAGGTAAGTTTTCTAAAGGAATGAATGAAAAATGCTTTACAGTACTACTAAAGGGTAAGTTATCATATATGATAATATACAACATCTGGATATGAATTTGAATTATTCTCCTCCAAAAAAAAAGGCACCACTAAGGCTTTTTGTAAAATCAAAGTTTGGCAAAATAGAATTCTATTTTGAGAGAATGAAAGCTTATTTCTTTTTTTAACAACTGTGTATCAAATCTTACAGTTTTGTTTTTTAGGAAAGTGAGATGTCCACAGAGAAGGAGACAGAAAGATATTCCATCTGCTGATTCACTCCCCAGGTGGCTGCTAAAGCCTGAGCTTAGCTGATTCAAAGCCAGGAGCCAGGAAGTTCTTCCAGGTCTCACACATAGTTGTAGGGGCCCAAGGCTTTGGGCTGTCCTCTACTGCTCTCCCAGGCCAGGAGCTGGAGGGGAAGTGGAGCAGCCAGGACAGGAAGG